GGGGGTTTTTCCTCCATGTATCCATCATATTTGCTGTTGGTTGAATATATTGTTCATCTTTGCCTCAAAAAAAAAAAAAAACTATGTTACGCACTATTGGTGATATTAACATTTATTTATTTACCCAATAAATGTGATATGCACTTTTAGTATTCATTTGGTTATAAGTTTTCATCAATTAAATTGTGCCCGTTAAATTTCATATATTTATAATGCTAAAGTTAATAGTTTTGGTAGCGATTTGAAAATTTAATTTTGGGTCGTTACAAAAGTGACTATCCACACATACACATCATCTAACATTGAATAAGTGAATGAATTTATCCAAATAGCATATCGTTGAAGCTGTTTATGAATTATCCAAGTCATGTCAAACAACAAGCTATCTATGTCATATGTATTTTCTTTGTGCAGTTGAATTAGCTAACTTTGTTTGGGATGAACAAATATCCAAGTTGGGGTATTTGAGAAATGTGATTTTTACACTTATTAGGTTACCAAAAGTTGATAGTTGGGAGATAATTTGATATAATTACTACTTAATTTGGTTAAATACATATTTTTGTCGGATAAACTTGTGCTTGGATGGCTATTGATGAAAATAAAGGAAAACGTAACAAAGAAGGGCAAAAAAGGAAGAATTGTTAAGTTTGGGGACTAAACTAAAAATTTTCAAAAGTTATTTTGGGTCGAGGAATGATGATTGAAGAAGATTTTGATGAAATTGGGTGAACTTTGAAGTTGAAGGACTTAAACGAAGTACAAAAAGGACCCAAGACAACAAGAAGAAGAAATCATGGGCCAAACTGCAAGTAAAGGCAACATTATGCTTTGAGCCCCTGTGATCACAAGAGCAATATGTATAATTCTAGTGTGTTATTCAGTTTAACGGTGCGATTGCAAGGAATTACACCATATGATCGCATGGTTATATTCAACAAAGAAAACTATGTTTCATTCTTTAACGAAAACTCTTTATAGAAACCAATAATACTATGTTTTTAGAGTTATGCTATATGTACAAAATTGGGTTACAAAGTTGGTTGACAAAATAACATCTACACCAATCATTTTAAAAACAGATTTTTAAATTATTTGAAATCAACGGTCTGAATTTTGTAAACACACTTTGTAACCCAACTTTTCTAATTCAACTTTATACAAGTAGCTTTATTGATGCTTTTAACCTACTTTAGAGACATAATTACGACGTACGAAGCTTTACAGAGAGAACAAGAGGCAATAAAGAAAGAATTCTCCATTTCAATTCATATTTTAAAGATTATTTCTTGGATTTTGTACAAAGAAATAAGGTCCAAAAGGGAATTGTCAAGAAGAATTGAAGACATTCAACTAATCAAGATTTATTCTCTTTTTCTTCCTATATCCATAATTTGGGTGATGCCCCATAATTCAAACACCATTCTAAATGAACCTTTTGTTATGAAGTTCTAATATAATATCAAGATTAATAGTTGTTCATTTTTGATGATTGTCATATAATTTAATACTTTTCAATTAATTAGCTACTAATTGAATTGTTGTGTGATCTTTATTTTATTTAAGGAGAATAAGGAATATAACAATCATTGTAGGATGTCCAATAAGGAATGAGATATACTGTGCATGATTTAAATAGATGTTCTTATGTCATAATGTATTCTTTCATGCTCGTATCTTTTGTAGAGACATGTGAGGATATATTTAATTTTACTCGAGAGAAATTATTGAACAAAATAGGAACATTAATTTATAAGAGCAAACTAATGTTATCATGTCTTGAATTGCGTTAAAAGGGGTTAATAAAGGAGGATTCCAATTTTTAGTGTTTGCTTAAAAATGACTTACAAATTCTTCTTTGTGCTAATTAGATCAGTTTCAGATAATTATTTATAACAACCAACAATCACAAATTGATTATTCCATTTGAGTTAGTATTAAATAATCCTAAATTAAGTACTCATCTCTTGAGGAAATGATATTTTATTTACTAATCTATTACTTATTGGATTTAAGTGATCGTCAGATTTAAATTTGCACAGTCGTCAAGGGTGTGCAATGGTTTAGAAGGAGTGGATAATGATGGTTCTTGGTGCTAGTCGGTGGCCACCAATTCGGATGGAATGCGAAGCTTAGCGTGAAATTGAGATTTGGAGGAGAGAGAGAGAGAAAGGAGAAGCTTGTAACGTCAGTGAAGTTTGAATAAGCATTTGTTTGGCTTATAAATGATTTATAAGTCAGTGAAGTTCGAATAAGCATTCGTTTGGCTTATAAATGATTGTCAAACTTAATTTTTAATCATATATTTTATTAGATCAAGTATTATTGAACTTATCTATCATTCTTTTCTATCAATTTATAAATTATATCGTTTACAAATTCTTCCCAATGGATTATAAAGAAGTACTCAAAGTCAGGGTAGATTTCAAAAGTTAAGGGGCTGTTCTCTTCATGTTTCAGTTTTGTGTTTTGAGTGTCTGTTTTGAAATTTCTGAAAATGCGTTCTTTTTGTTATTTTGAAAAACTGTTTCCGAAAATATAAAAATGGAAAACGCGTTTACTTTAAAATTTTGAGAATTTTTTTAATAATATTTTATTCAAGAAATCTGATTATTCAATAAATTTTAATAGTTTAATGTTAATATAGTATTAAATAACATATAAATTTTGAAATTAGTGAATCTTGAAATATTTTTTTCCAAATATAAAAAACATAACCTTAATTAAATTTGGCAGTCCTTATTTTTGTCCTTATACATAA